TTTTGGGTCCGCGTTCAGCCTGAACCGCCGAACGCATCCCCAAGGGGTCCCATATGTTCGGGCGTTCGGCCCGTCCCGAACGCCGGTTACCCTGGTCGCGGCCGTGTGGAGAAATGGGGATTTGGTACTTGGCTGGTCACACGGCGCCATCCACCAATTTTGCAAGAAGCTTTGTGAACGAATTTTTGCTAATTTTTGAAGAAAATGCAAAAAAAAAAGGGAATTTGGGATCACCTCCAGAGGTGACCGCAAAATCCCTTGCCCCGCGGCTTCCCAGGCCGCTGACAAATGGGCACTGGAATAGTCCATTTGYGAATTTGGTAGATCCGTGTGACCGGCCTTTTCCCCTTTTTTTTGGGATTTTGGGATTATAGGTCCCCGTGTGAGTATGCCCTAAGTGGGTGGTTCAATCACCGGAATCGAACTTGGCTGTTTTTTTTTTTTTTTTTACCTTTTTCAAGTCGACGGTCGTGGAACGAAGTTCCTACTGAATCCCACTTCTGTGCCTCGAGGAGGACCGGAATTGAACTTGGGTCTTTTTTTTTTTTTTTTTTTTTTCTCTTTTTTTACTTCTGTGCCTTGTGAGCTGCCTTGTGAGTTGATGTGAGTTGAATGGTCTTCCGCCGAGCATAACGCACCCGGATACCGATACCGATTATGAATGTATACAAGCTATGTTTCAGTTGAGATGCAGTCAAATTGAAAAAGCAAAAAAAAAAAAACAACCCACCCAACCTCTACCCAAAACCTTGAATTGAATCTTTCGTCGAATCCAGGGTCGTGGAACGAAGCCCCTACTGAATCTCACTTCCGTGTCTCCAGGTCTAGGATTTAGATGTTTCTGTAGGTAAGTGAAGTGAAGGGAGTAGGGTGTTCACCGAATGTGTGTATAAAAAGTTATGGGTCTACCCTCCACTCCCAGCAACTAAACATAACCAACACAACAACATAGCCAACACATCAACTCAAATATCCTTTGAATTGCACATTCAATTTCGAGTCTAAAGTGCAGATATGTCCCGCCAACAAACAGAATTGCATTAAAACGGCCTAAAGCTAGAACATCGCACCTGCTGTCGCACCAAACATGCCCTAGCAGAGCATCCACCCGACTGACACATTCAGGTTCGGAGGCAACAACAAAAAAACTGGCATGGCCCCACTTGCTGAACTCAATCGTTCTCTTTTTTTTGAAGGCTAATTTTTTAAGCCCAACGAATTCAATTACCTGTCAAATCTGGACAGGACGGCCTTTCAGGCCTTTTTTTATTGTCATTATAGTATTACGGGGAACCCCGTAGCAGCTCTCGAGGCTCCCCACACCCACAACACCCCTAATATGCCATCACCGCTACCAGTCCTCGGCCCTGGCTGCGCCACCGCGCCCTGCGCGGTCTACAGTATCTTTCCATGTTTTTGGGGAAGATACATGCTCCATTTTGCACATTTCGGGAATTCCCACGTCGGGGACTGGCTGCCATTTGCGGGCGTTTTTCATTTCATTTCCGTCAGTGGATCTTCACAATGTATGCGCGTCATTCCATTGACTCAACATTCTACACGTAAGTAGAATGCGGTTTGGGCCAGATACATTTGAACAAACCAAACGTTTGGAATGTATCAGGACGAACTTCAAGGTCCAGATACGTTTAGAATGTTGTGCTATGGAGCGACGCCCTCTGAGAACACGAGTCGGTCGGACGCGGCCCCGGGGGCCAGGTCCCACTGGCGAGCAAAGAGGATTGGATTGAAATCCTGAATCTGGACTTTTTTGTGGAAAGGTGCAGAAAATCGAGATTGTAACTGCATTTCTGCATCTCTCCTTAAATCACATCCAGTTTCAGGAGATTCGCCCAATCCTCTTTGCTAGTGGGACCTCGCCCCAGGTACAACGAATTCGTTTGGAAGTTACGGTGTCTTGTTCTGTGCTATCTTCACCTTATTACCGGGCCCGTTCGAAATAAATTAGGGTCAGCAATTTGGTCTGGAGAGCAGGTCCGGGGCTACCCTGCTTCCCCTCCCCAATACAACAACGTACGACGGTCATTATACCTGTATGTAGACGCAAAGATACCCCAAATACAGAGGTATAATGACCGTCGTACGTTGTATTCGGCGGAAGAAGGGGTAGTTGACTTCAGGAAATTTCTTTCTTTCTTTCTTCTTTCTTTGAAATTTCTTTCTTTCTTTCTTTCTTTCTTTCTTTCTTTCTTTCTATGTGATTGATGTAAGCCTTGGGCGCTGGGGCCAAGTCCCCCGGTAGCAGCGTTGAGCTACCTCAACGCCTGAATCTGGACGTTCAGTTCAGCAAACTCAACACCATTTCTGCACATCTGCGCAAAAGCGTCCACATACAGGCGTTGAGGTAGCTCAACGCTGCTACTGGGCCCGTTTGAAACAAAATTTCCAAGGCATAAAAGAAAGAAAGAAAGAAAGAAAAAAAGAAAAAAGAAAAAACCGACAATTTCCTCCTCTAACCCCCCCCCTTCCCTCCGGGCCTCGCTGCGGCATTCAGCAGAGATTTGTGGAACTGGAGCATGTATCGGCCCTAGAATGCGGACACATACACTCACTATAGCTTTTGTCTTGTTCAAAGTTACGGTGTGTCTTGGAATGCTCTGCGCAGGTGGGACCATCCCGACTGGCAAAAGCAAGGGGAGGGAGAAGTTTGTTGTAGCCTGCCAGGTCGGGATCCGGTATACAGTGAGAAAGAATATATATATTATGTATATATACATATATATATATATATGTCCTCTTCTCCCTCTCTGCCTACGGTTTACCGGGCAGTTCTATTTGACGATATATTATATATATATATAGTCAAACACAGAGCTGCCTACGGTAAAGCGAAGGCAGAGAGGGAGGGAGAAGAGGACAACAAACGAGGGGCTGTGGCAAACTGTTTCGTCGGAGTTTCACCGACTCATCAGGAGGCTGAACCTTCTCTCTCTCTCTCTCTCTCTCTCTCTCTCTCTCTCTCTCTCTCTCTCTTTATATATCGTGAAACAGAGTTGCCTACGGTAAACCGTAGGCAGAGAGGGAGGGAGAAGAAATACATGTCTTTGCGCGAAGATATAAATGCTTAATCTCCTCGTTTATCCGTACCTCTAATTTGTTTAACAAAATTTTGGATATCACAAAGGGAATCTCTTTGAAACTTTCCCATGAGGAAAATGAATCCTGAATCCACGTTGAGGTAAAACATCTCTTAAGTGCATACTCACACTGGCACTTCACGAAATGCATCTGACTGAAATTACGACTGGACCTGGATGAATCTGACCGCAATCGTGTCCAGAGCTTCGTCCGAAAAGTCCTTCTATGAGTATATGGCCCAAGTCTCGTCGAGCTACGAAAATTAAATTCACATTTTTTTATTTCTAGTTAGATTAACTTTCAAGATACATATATATATTATATATATATACATATATATATCATATATATATGTACAGCCCCTCGTTTGTTGTCCTCTTCTCTCTCTCTGCCTACGGTTTACCGGGCAGTTCTATTTGTGACGATATATAGTCGAATTCTATATATTTATATATATATATACTGTCAGCGGACTTTGGGAGTATTCAAGAATGAGTCAGAGCACTGGACAGGAGAAGCACGGCGAGACGAAAACCCGAACAGAAAAAAAAGATGGTGGTGGTCCCGATGGTGCTGAATTTCTATTAGCACAAGCGGCGAGAGGAGACAGATCTTATCCAAGAGAAGATAAGTCTTATTTACCCATAGAATTGCAGCGGTCATTTGTTGTTGACGACAGCAATGCGAAGCCATCGCCGCCGTTGATCGGTAGCAATCGCCCCATTGCGGAGTCGTACGGTTCGGGTAGTGAGTGGCCAGATTCTCTTCCTGCTCCTCATCAACCTCCTCCTCCTCCTCCTCCTCCTCCTCCTCCTCCTCCTCCTCATCTTCCTCCTCTTCATGAGCATATTCATCGTCAGCATCAAGAAGGTCAAGCAGGTGGGTTGGAGATCCAAAGAGCTCCAGCTATGGTGGAAAGAACGACGAGCTTCGATTTCGACGAGGTTGTGGCGATGGAGGATGCAAGGGTGTCTTTGCTGAGGGGAGGAGAAGTAGGAGAGGGAGGAGGAGGAGGAGGAGGAGGAGGGAGAGGAGGAGGGAGAGGAGGGAGAGGAGGTGCTCGGGAATTTTGCGCGGGTGTCGTGAGTACCGCCTGTTTCATGGCGATGGTCGGGATCGCGATGTACTGGATGGGACTGAGAATCCAACGGCCGGGATCGGAACCAAGCCATCATCTTCAGTCGCTGAACCAATCAACGGTTGAGAGGCCCAGAAAGATACTGGACCAATCAACGGTCTTATTGATATCTGCCGACGGTTTTCGATGGGATTATACCAGGAAGGTTCGTTTCTCACGTGCATGCCTCCGATTTTCTCTCTGCTTATCCTTCTCTCTCTCTCTCTTCTCTCTCTCTCTCTCTCGCTCTCTCTCTCTCTCTCTCTCTCTCTCTCTCTTCTCTCTTTCACTTCTTTCTCTCTCTCTTCTCTCTCTCACTCGCTCTCTCCTCCCCCCCTCCCCCTCTCCTTTGCCCTTTGTATGTGGCCGATGGACCAGTCCTTTCACGGGCGTTCGCACGGCCGTTCTCTTCTTCAAGATCTCATTTCTTGTTGATGACCAAAGGGCTGAGCTCAGTTGGTACAACACCCATAATACTAGTAGTAAACTGTGGAAATGAAATCTTGACCTGAGCTCAAATCCAGATGGAACCAGATGGAAAAAAAAAATTCGTGAATTTTTTCTAGATAGCTCAAACTGTAACTTGGTGGGTTTATCGGTTTATCTTTCCGTTTTGTTTGTGTGTACTAAATAAAATAGTATTCTAATGACAAGAAATCAAATAATTGATAAAATACAAAAACAGGAAAAAAAAACATCAACACAATAACTGATTAAAAAATAAGATTGTTCTCTACTAGTGGAGAACACTAGAGTACGGTGAACCCATATAGAGGGTGTCGAGACGATACAACACTGCCTGCTGAATGGGGAGATCAGATCTGAACGTAGCGATTCTCTCTTCTTCCCTCCTCCCCCCACCTCCTTCCTCATCTGTCTGTCTGTGTGTCTCTCTCCCTGTCTCTCTCTCTCTCTCTCTCTCTCTCTCTCTCTCTCTCTCTCTCTCTCTCATCGTAGCGATTCTCTCTTCTCCCCTCCCCCCCCTCTTCCCTCCTTCCTCATCTGTGTGTCT